GTTTTGGGTTTAGGGTTTGGGGTTTGGGGTTTAGGGTTTAGGGTTTAGGGTTTAGGGTTCAGCAGCTCATGTACTAGCTTTCTCTAGTCGAGCTTTTTCATCGTGTGATGGAGAAGTACCCACCCACTCAGAGAATCCCAGAACATCAAGACAATATAAACTTATCATTTTCAGCTGCACCTTAAACCGGAAGCCTTGAGCGAAAAATGTTTCTTCCTAAGCCCTAGGCCCTGAACACTTCGCCCTGAACCGCTTTCTTTTCAAACGAAACGCAAAGCTCCATCCCTGAAACCCTGAAATCCTGAAATTCAAAGTGTGCCTTGCCCACGAAGGTGCCTTGCTCACCAAAGTTTGTGCCTTGCCCACTAAGCTTCGTGCCTTGCCCACTAAGGTTCGTTGGAACTAGGTTTGTGCCTTGCCCACTATGCCTTGCCCATTGAGGTTTGTGCCTATGCCCATGAAGTCAACAGGGCCTCTATATATATATATATATATACTTATACATAAATAGTGAGAGTTAGGCTTTGGGGTTTAGGGTTTCCGAAATCAGGAACCTTATTGGGGCCCCTCTTGAAGGGGACCTGTACTGCTACCTACATCATACGCACGCGTACAGTTTCCTAGAGATTTGGGGGAAGCCCTTGGCAGACCTGCTGGACCTTCTGGCTCGTATCTTGCACCTTGAGGAAAGTATTCCTCGGCGCTGATGGTTTCGGGTTTAGGGTTTAGGGTTTAGGGCTTAGGGTACAAGATCCTAACGGGCAATCATGTGAGGATCCCGTTTAACAGGCTATCCTTCAAGTCCCACGCCTCTCTAAAGACCAGAAAAACAAACCCTAAACCCTAAAACCTAATCCCCCCCCCCCCGCCCTGTCTTTCTGACAATGTCCTGAAGTGCTTGAGTCAGTTTACATGTCGCGAGCACGCCACCATAGACACTGTCAACCCACTCGCCCGTGCACGAATGAACCCATGCCTTTTTAACCCATGAACCCAACGCTTTCGGCCCGCATGATTGAGTTAACCCTAAACCTTAAACCCTAAACCCTAAACCCATGAGCCCAGTAGCCAAAGTTAGACCATGAGTCCGTTAGTCCCACCACGTTGGCTACTGGGAGCAGACTAAGCAGCATCTCTGGACAGTTCTTGGGCGGACCATCTTACTCACAGGCTCCTGGGTCCGTGTGTGCAAACAGGCTTTTTTGGGCAAACCAGGTGCGTAGACCCTGAACCCTGAACCCTGAACCCTGAGCCCTGAACCCTGAAACCCTAAACCCGCAACCCTGAGCACAAGCCGCGTCGCTGAACTGTGAGCTCCATGGCGCGGAAACGGCGACAAGTCGTCAGCTTTGGCCCCAAAAAGAGCTGCGGGCGCGCGTGCGCGACTCGTTTAGGGCGCCTGGGGTTTTAAGGTTTAGGGTTTAGGGTTTTATGGTTTAGTGTCCAGGGTCTACAAGGCTTTTAGGGCTTCACAGAGGCAAACCCTTAAACCTGTTTAGGGTTCTGTTGGGGGGGGAGAGGGGGGTTTAGGCCTTTCTTAGATGCATCAAACAATGTCAAGCTTGTGGCACATCACAGGTTTGCCCCTAAACCCTAAACCCTAAACCCTAAACCCCAAACCCCAAACCCCAAACCCCAAACCCTAAACCCTAAACCCTAGCGGCCCTAATGGCCCTAATTAAACCCGCCCCGAAATCGCAGCCCAATGGCACCATCCACTTCCGGGCTGTCAGGAGCTTCCTCCATGGCGCCCACACACGCGGAGCAAGGACCCCAAACCTTCAACCCTGCACCCTAAACCCTAAACCCTAAACCCTAAACCCTAAACCCTAAACCCTAAACCCTCTCTTTTTCTCCTGTGCCCCTGAACTGTGACCTCAAGTGCTGGTTTGAGAGCTTTGTATTTGTGAGGCTCTGTGCCTGAGAGTGCTGTGACACAACCTCTTTGCACAGGTCCTTCGGTCCTTTGCATGGGCCAGAGCCAGCACATCAGCGCAGACGCACGGTGAACCCCAAGGCACAATGTCACAAGGAGCCAGGAGTTTAGGCTTGAGGCTTTAGGCTTGAGGCTTTAGGCTTTAGGCTTTAGGCTTTAGGGTTTAGGGTTAAGAGTTTAGGGTTAGAGTTCGGGTTCACGGTTTGGGGTTAAGGTTGGGGGGAGGGGGTGGGGGAGGGTGTAAGGAGGGGGCCTCCCATGTCAGAAAGATAATAAGCCCAAACGAGCACACAAGAAGCCTAGACACGGGAACATGCGGTTTAGTGTTTAGGGCCAGATTCGGGTTTGGGCATTGGATGCAGACGCAAAGGTGACTTACGCAGATGCCTCGCGGATGACCTGTTTATAGGGATTCTTTCGGGTGTGAAGGGGTATCATTACGGTACTGGGTATATTCATGTTAGTCATATACATATACGCACATATATATATACACATGTACATATGTATATACGTATGTATATATATATATATGTACGCATGTATGCATGTATGTATGTATGCATGCATGCATGCATGTATGTATGTATGTATTTATGTATGTATGCATGCATGTATGTTTAGTAGTAGGGCCTGTAGAGACGCCTTACGGTTCAATCACAAAAAAAGCAGCACCATGCAGGTTCAGTCCGCCTGGAGGAAGTCCTCCGCACGAGCCCCGAATCGGGCAAAGCGATAGACCTTTCCGTGGTCACTGAACTACTCTTTGCTTAAGAACCTTTTAAAAAAGTAATCTACTGAACTACTCTTTGCTTAAGAACCCTGAAAAAAAAGTAATCTAGAGCTATATTGCCCTCATACGGACGAAAATTCTTTTTCTGTTTCTCAAGCAACTAGCAGTGAATCAAGGGCGTTATGCTTGACTCGGTTGAGTAGGGACATTTCTAGGATCCCTCGCACGTCCATGAAACTCTAAAACCCCTACTCCAGCGGTATGCGATAAAAGTCACCCTAAAGCCTAAACCCTAAACCCTAAACCCCAAACCCCAAACCCCAAACCCTACTCTTCTTCCATCTTCTGCTATCCGCGATGTCAAGACCTCATGTCTGGACAAAGTCTGCACACAAAGCGGGGGTAGCAACTACGACGCATCACGCCAGAGCATATCGCGGCATGGATGGCTCCTGAGCTGGCGACCCAATCCGGGATCCTTGAGACGTTCAGACCTGGGCGCAAGACAGCGAGGGTTTAGGGTTTAGGGTTTAGGGTTTAGGGTTTAGGGTTTAGGGTTTACGGTTTAGGGCTTAGGGTTTAGGGTTTAGGGTTTAGGGTTTAGGGTTTAGGGTTTAGGCCTTACGACTGCTTTGAGAGTTGCTCTGAGCTCTCTAAGCGGTGGAGCTGGACCCACATGAGTCCTTGTCTAGCTTGGCGCCGTTCATCACCTACATGCAGCACCTGGAGCATTCCAAACTGGAAAGTAGCAAGCGTGTCTCAGCGCCCAGCGTTCGCACAGATCCTCCGCAAAGTGGCAGCAATTTTGCCTGAGAACGAAAGGCTCGAGTGTGGGACTTGGAAAAGGGAGGAAGCAGGCGTCGGAGCTTGCTGGAGATTCTTAGAGACGCGATAGATGCTTTGCCCTACACCCTAAACCCTAAACCCTAAACCCTAAACCCTAAACCCTAAACCCTATGGTTAAGAGGCATAAGACGAGTGTTTCTCTCACACGATGGGAACATCGCTCACCATGGCAATACCTTTTCTTGGTTGCTGCTTAACCCCTTAATATGAAATCTTGGCTGCACTCAGGAGGGTAGCTAAGAATTAAACTTTTAGCTGCCTTATTAAGAAACCCAATTAACCCAAAAAGGGTAAGGATCTAAAGTTACAGTAAAGTACCACAAAGAAATTAGAGGAACCCTAAACTCATAAAGTTGTAGTATTAAATTAGAGGACCCCTAGACTTAAAAGTGATAACGTTGTCGTAAAGTCCCACCTAGTTTTTTTACATCTCTGAAACTCAACCTCCTGCAGGCTCCCTCTGCACACCCGAGCTCAAAACCCCCCAAGGGAATAGGGCGGGTTTAGGGTTTAGGGTTTAGGGTTTAGGGTTTAGGGTTTAGGGTTTAGGGTTTAGGGTTTAGGGTTTAGGGTTTAGGGTTTAGGGCACCTTCCGTTCTTTTCTTCGCGGCGTGCTCTCGCATGTAAACCTCAACCTCCAGGAGCTCTACCACACGCTGACGCGTGCAAGCCTTCGCCCCTGGAGCCCTTATTATTATTATTATTATTATTATTATTATTAGTATTATTAGTATTGTCATTGTCTTTACATACAAAATTTATTATATTATTATTATTATTATTATTATTATTATTATTATGACAGGTGAAACCTGCCAGGAACCGGGGTGGCAGTCGAGCGGCTGAACGACTGCAACTGTTCCCTGTGTCTGGCAACTGCTGTCTTCAATCATGGCTCAGGGTTCAGGGTTCAGGGTTCAGGGTTCAGGGTTTAGGGTTTAGGGTTTAGGGTTTAGGGTGTTCAATCGCTGCAGCTTTCGGTCTTCTTGCGGAACGGCCAGGTTGTCCCAGTGTGGTCCTCGAAATGCCATGACACTGAAGCCAAGCGCCTCCTTATATCCGCCCCGTTCCATCCGAGATGCCTGTACATGCTGCGAAACTCGGTAGATGTCCACAAAGAACACTGCCAGTTTAGTGCGTAGGGTAAACCCTAAACCCTAAACCCTAAACCCTAAACCCTAAACCCTAAACCCTAAACCCTAAACCCTAAACCCTAAACCCTAAGCGTTCCACGAGGGATGAGCTTCCCTTCCCAACACTTCTCTTAGTTAGTCAGTCGAGGCTTCAAGCTCTAGAGGACTTGGTAGCCCAGTATAAGGGCACTCTTTCTTGGTTTAGGGTTCAGGGTTCAGGGTTCAGGGTTCAGGGTTTAGGGTTTAGGGTTTAGGGTTTAGGGTTTAGGGTTTAGGGTTTAAGGTAAACGGTACCGCTGGGCTACCAAGAGGAGGAGAAGGTAGTGCAATGCTGCAACCTTCACTCCCGCATTCAGGCAGCGCTCACCTGGCTCAGCACTCGGGGAACCCTTCGGCTTCCGTGAACTTGACACCCGAAGACGTAGGCGAATCTCAACTAGGGCTTAGGGTTTAGGGTTTAGGGTTTAGGGTTTAGGGTTTAGGGTTTAGGGTTTAGGGTTTAGGGTTTAGGGTTTAGGGTTTAGGGTTTAGGGTTTAGGGTTTAGGGTTTAGTTATGGAACCATCGCAGACTCGGCCCACCTGCTCCACATCGCCCCGGCACAAAGGGCACGTTCGCGCCACCTATCCAGCAGTAGAAAACTACCGAAAACTACACCCTAAACCCTAAACCCTAAAACCCTAAGCCCTAAACCCTAAACCCTAAACCCCTAGGCCCTAAGCCCTAAACCCTAAAGTTGTTCGGTTTAGGTTTTGGGGGACAGCGTTTGGAGAACCTGGCATTGCTCCAACGGAAGCAACTAAAGCATCCCTGCCCTCTGCTGAAACACCCCAAGACCCTGAACCTTATTCTATAAAAACCCAAAACCCTATAGCCCTAAACCCTCGAACCCGAAGCCCTACAACCCTAAACCCTAAACCCTAAACCCTAAACCCTAAACCCTAAACCCTAAACCCTAAACCCTAAACCCTAAACCCTAAACAGGCCTAGTGGAGAACTCCGGAAAAGAGTTCCCAGGATGCCCCCGCGAGCTAGCACTCACAGCTACACTCTCATTATCTTCGGCTTTGTAGACCCACATAATACTCTTTTTGCGTTCTTGACTATAGAATACATCGACCCTAAACCCTAAACCCTAAACCCCAAACCCCAAACCCTAAACCCTAAACCCTAAACCCTAAGCCCTACAAGTAATTTATCACATGTCATGTTGGCCCCTTGTCAGCCGGCCTGGAACCAGCCAGACAAACAGCTTCTGTGAAAGACGTGGCTGCAGGGCATCTGTACAATCACCTGCGCAAGGGATGAGGGTTTAGGGTTTAGGGTTTAGGATTTAGGGTTTAGGGTTTAGGGGCTTCGATCGTCATTCTGAAAGCTTAGTTGCTGAGTTCATAAGCCCCCCCAAAAGAATGTACATTTTCTGTTCTATAGGGGATTATGGTAGCCCAAAACGTGTAAAGTGTACTCATTCAATTACTAAGAGCGCAAATTGAACGTTGCTCATGACACACAACAGCCGAGCAACACACAAACCCTACCCTAAACCCTAAACCCTAAACCCTAAACCCTAAACCCTAAACCCTGACACCCTAAACCCTAAACCCTAAACCCTAAACCCTAAACCCTAAACCCTAAACAAAAACAAACCTAACTAAAAACCCTAAAAACCCTAAAAACCCCTAAAAACCCTAAAATCCCTAAAAACCCTAAAACCCTAACCCCTAAACCCCTAAACCCCTAAACCCCTAAACCCCTAAACCCC